TTGGTGGAAGCAGTGCCTCAAATAGAAGGTTCCAGTGGTGGGTTCCGGATTCTGTTGCAACCTGTACGGTGCAATGGTGCCAGGTGTCCACCACATGCACGTGTGCAGTATGCACATGCGTACTTACCACCCACAATGCTCCAGCTGCTTGGCAGAGCATCGCGCAGGCGCCGTACATTCCATGTGCGAAAGCACCGATCGGTTCAAATACCGATAAGGAGGGCCAGCAGGTGGGCTCTCTGGAGCACCGTACTGGAATGGTACCTGGTGATCCCAGCAGCACTGATACACCCGTACCCCCACTGGAAGGTTCATACATAGAGTAGTAAGAACAGTTGAGAAGGTTACAGGAAGCTCACTTTCTGTTATTCAGGATACTGTTTATAAGTGCTTTGTGCTTAGAGCTCGAAGCATTGTTAGAGCTATGTGCTTGGAGCTCAAAGAATTGTTAGAGACCCCACATCCCCACTTCACTGTCTGTTTCTGTTTCTCCCCTCTAGAAGGAGCTTTCAAAGTATCTATAGCAGGACCACTAGATTCTGTAACAGTTTTGTTCTTTATGACATCCATCATATAAATTTGCAGGATTTTTTTTCTGCTATGTAGATGTAATATATTCAGATTAGACTGTGATGTTTATGTATGTGTGGGTATGTGGGAATATGCATAATGGTTATCCTTTGAGAGCTGGATGCAACAGAATTTCATTTTAATGTATGCTGATTAGTTTACATTTAAAGTGACAAAGTTATTCTATTTCTCTTCTTTTCTATTTCTATATTTCTAATTCTATCCTATCCCTAAGATTTGTTTCTTGTTTTGGAAGTCTTCCACTCATTGCAGCCAATCTCCTGAATTTGTATCAAGATTTCCCTGAGTATCTCTACTTGTGCAGATGGCAAAATGATGAGATTGAGAGTCTTTGACTTGACACCAGAGCTGCTGTTTCTCCCAGTGACTGTAAACTCAAGAATGATATACGTGAAATTACAAATATTGAAACTTGCCACAGCCAACTTGCCATAGCCAATTGCTGCGGGGGGTTTCCTGCACATCTTGCCACAGGACAACTTGCTAGGGGACAAGAGTTAAAATCACAGAAATTATGGAACAGAATTATTAAAGAAAGGATGCTAAAGGGGGAACAAAATGAAATGCGAATGACAAAAAATATCTTTTAATTCTTTTAAATAATTTAATTGTTGAATTGTCCCATGGCAAATTGTTCTGCAGTGAGTTGACCATGGTGAGTTGGCTATGGTTAAGTTGTCCCATTCCATTGAAAAAACTGGCATAAGGGGAAAATGGACATTAACAATGATCAATCCATTGTCTACAAAGTGTGCCTTTATTTTACCTCAAGACTTTGTAAGTGAAGATTAATAAATAATGAGGCCTTTGACTAAAAAAAGGTTGCAACTTCTGCAAGTCTGATTTTATTACACACGTACACATAAACAGCGCTTTCAGAAAGTGTAATATACATGGAGTAGATTAATGAGGAAAAAATGAATTAAAATCAGGCTGCAGCATAACAGAATTAACAAAAATGAAGGGAATCTGAATAATTTCTGAATGCACAGTATATATGTATGTATGTGTGCATATAGGTGTACAGACATATACATTCCAGAGGCAACTTCCATTCTTTCTGTGTGTTTGGTCAAGAGCAATTGTGATAATTTTCTGAAGTATAGGTTCTGCTCAATTAAAACCATCTATTTAACATCTGTTCAAACTAACGGCACTTCCCCAAAAATAGAATTTCAACTGCATCTCAAAATTATGACTTTCTAGAACAATATGATCAACATTTGGCCACTTTGGAATTTGTAGATCTTGTTATGTAAAGTAAGATCATTTCAACATGCTATGCATTTGTACAGTTTCTCCCATGTGGATTCTGTTATGGTGATTTAAGTTGATGGCTCTGGGCAAATTTATTTCCACACTCCATACATTTATAAGGTTTCTCCCCTGAATGAATTCTCTTATGGAAAGTAAGAGTACTTCTCCGAGCAAAGGCCTTTTCACACTCCATACATTTATATGGTTTCACCCCTAGGTGGATTCTTTCATGGATCCTAAGAGACTTTTGTGACATGAAGCCCCTTCCACAATCCATGCATTTATATGGTGTCTCCTCTGTGTGAATCATTTAATGGATCTTAAAATGACTATGTGATGTAAAGACCCTTCCACACTCAATGCACCTATATGGTTTCTCCCTTGTGTGGATCCTTTTATGGGTCTGAAGACCACCATTTGACATAAAGCATCTTCCACATTCCATACACTTATATGATTTCTCCTGTGTATGTGTCTTCTTATGGGAAAATAGATAACTGCTCTGAGCAAAGGTCTTTCCACACTCCATGCATTTATATGGCTTTTCCCTTGTGTGGATCCTTTGATGTTTTATAAGTGATGCATTTACACAGAAACCCTTTCCACAATCTGTGCATTTATATGGTGTCTCCCCTGAGTAGATCTTTTTATGGAAAGTAAGATCACCATTTGATTTGAAGCCTTTTCCACATTTCATGCATTTATAGGGTTTCTCCCCTGTGTGGTTCATCTTATGCAATGTTAGTTGACTGTTCCGAGCAAAAGTCTTTCCACACTCCATGCATGTATACGGCTTCTCCCCTGTGTGGATCCTTTTATGTAAAGTAAGAGAACTATTCCAAGCAAACGTCTTTCCACATTCCATGCATTTATATGGCTTCTGACTGGTATGGATCCAGTAATGTGAAGTACGTTGATGACTTGACCTAAAACTCTTTCCACACTCCATACATTGATAGGGTGTTTCCCCTGTGTGGATTCTTTTATGGGAAGTAACATAACTGCTTTTCTTGAAGCTTATGCCACATTCTCTGCATTCATATGGCTTCTCCTTTGTGTGGATTATTTTATGGGAAGCAAGTTGACTATGATAAATAAAAGTCTTCCCACAATCCCTGCATTGATAGTGCTTCATCCCTGATTGGATCCTTTTATGAGATGTAAGATATCTGCATTTCCTGAAGCATCTGCCACACACTCTGCATTTATATGGCTTCTCCACTGTGTGGATCCAGTTATGGGAAGTAAGTTGACTAGTCTTTTGGAATCTCTTTCCACATTCCCAACTTTTAGATTGCTTCTCTTCTGTGTAGATCTTATTCTGTGATGTAAGTGACCTATTTCTATGAGACAGATTGAATGTCCAATTATATTTTTTTTCATTGTCTCTGAATATGTTACCTTCTTGGTTAATTTGGGCTGGATAGCATCCATTTACATGTAATTCATCTTTGATATGCTTCACACTTGAACTTTCCTAATTCCAGCTGTCAGGCTGGTTTTTCTCATCTCTTTCTATTTCCATTCCAATTGCAGATGTCTCCATTCTGTCTCCAGCAATGATCACTTGAAACGGTTCACCGGAATCTTTATTCTCCTGCCCATCATTACCTTAAGAAAAGAAATGAAAATGGTAGCAATGTTAGTGAAAAGATCAAATTGTACCAAGTTCTACAAATTTCCTTTTGATTTTTGGCCCAATTCCTATATATATCTTGGCACTGGTACCACAGCTGATCTGGAAATGATAATTGCTATATTCATGAGCTAACATCCTTTTTCGCCACTAATCACCATTACAAACATCCTTTTTATTTAGAATTATTCTGATATATTCACATCTCACTTGAAGTCAGCTTTGATTTAGGTAAGAATCCGGGGAAACCTCCAAGGATAAATTAGGAGAAGATTGGATATTTACTGGAGGATACCAATTCCAAGACCTGTGACAACTAAATAAATTTTGAAACATGTCTGTTTCTTACCAAACTATCTTCCCTTTATTATCATTTTCTCCTGTCAAAATTGCATGATTGCAGGGGGAAGAAAACAAAAGTTCTTCTATTAAGCCTCAACAACATGTTTGCAATTGGAAAATGGTAACATTTAGCCCATGGTCACCAACCTTTTGGACCTCAGGGACCACAAAATTCATAATTTTAAATCCCACAGACCACTAATATGAATCCAACACGCTGCTCGCTGAAGTGCCTGGACTCCCAGTGACAAGATGGGGTCCTTCAGGCACTTAGCTTGGCCACCTGTTTCTGCAACCTTAAACACTCATTTGGAGTGTTTTGGACCCATTTCTCACAAAAAACAAAACACCGGGTTTTCTCTCTCTCTCTCTCTCTCTCTCTCTCTCTCTCTCTCTCTCTCTCTCTCTCTCTCTCTCTCTCCCCTCTCTCATCTCTCTCTCATCTCTCTCTCTCATCTCTCTCTCTCTCATCTCTCTCTCTCATCTCACGGGCCAGCCAGTGTCTTGGGGTGAAGAGGAAATTGCACGTCTCACAGTCACGCAGCACCAAGGGCCGGAAGAATCACCCATGAGATCCAGCATGAGATGAAGTTTTGCTCCCGCTCTGGAAAATGGAGCATATCTCCATCCCCTGCCCTTCCCTTCTCAGGCCAGGTAAGGAGTGACTGGAGAGGAGGGCGAGGGGCACAGCTCAGCCAACAAGAAGCCGCAGCAGGGGGACGAAAGAGCCATGGAATCCCAATACCCGTTGCTTCAGCCTGCCTGCGCTGCAAACCTCACTCCACCCCAAGCTGCCACAGCAACATTAACTCATTAGGGCAGGCAAGGGCTGCCCTACTGCTTGCACCTCCTGCAAAGTTGCAAGTTGCCCGTACCTCCTTCTATGGTGGAGATTTTCAGCCCCACCACGAACTGCCTGGCCGATCTCATATTTCAGAGAGAGAGAGAGAGTCATCCCAGAGCAGTTCCTCCACCCAGGTGCGCTGCAGACCACCAAAGGTTTCTCACGGACCACCAGTGATCCACGGACACCGGTTGGTGACTTCTGATTTAGCCAGTGATGGTGAAACATTAGGGCTCAGTAGGTCAAAACATCAAAAGATGACTAGCTTGACTCTGCTGGCACCCCTCACATAGAGATGAACAACCATTATTTTATCTCTCCACCATTTAGGCCACCCTGAACAGTAGCCCTCAACAGTAGAGCCAATCCTGGGCTTCAGATAGGAGCTTCCTCTCCAACCTGAGCCCTAGGACCACCACTTCCACTCAAAAAGCCCGCCTTACACCTTTCCCTAAAGTGCGCAAGCCTTGGGGAATGCTATGCTTCACCTGCAGTGCAGCTGATGGCATCTAACTACATTATGACTTCCTACACAACCTGACTGCAGGGTAGCAAACCCTTACCCAGAGAGGCCATGTTCCTATGATTTTCCAGCATGATTTCCCAATGCAGCGCTTTTTGATCAGGATCCAGCTGGGACCATTCCCCCTCGGAGAAATACACAGCTACTTCCTCGAAGGACACAGGACCCACCTTAATATGACAGAAGAAAAAACAGAACAGGACCAGGGTGGTTTTTTCAGATCTGCTCCATTGTTCTACAAATTCCCAAACCAAAGATATGTGCTAACTTATATGGCTGTGCTTGGCAGCAGAAAATGTATAGAGCCAAAAACCTTTGCCTGAAGAAATATTTCAGGCATGTTTATCCACTTCATTCATTCTGTAGGACTTTCAGTGACATTCAGTGATACTAATCCACTCTATATCTGTTCTCTATGAATCGTCTATGTCTATCATGTCTTCTTTCAGAGTTTCCTCATTTGCTCACAGTTGGATTCCAACCATGTTGTGTGAAGTCCATTAATTATGGCTCTCCCCCCCTTCTGTCTGTATTTCAAGCCCTTCTTTGTGGAAATCAGGGATCCTGAGGAAAGGAAGAATCCAACACATCCCCCTCTGAAAAGGTTCTCTCAGGAAGATCCAAGTCAGGACACATCCTTTGCAGATGCCCAGGGAACAGACTTACCCAGTTATCTGGGAATGGTTTGATTCTGTTGGACTTGAGAAAGTGGATAGGGTCCTGCAGAATGTAAATGCCATTACCTGTGTGTTAGATCCATGCCCTATTGGCTGGTAACACGTCCCACGGGAGATGGTATATGAATCGGTCCAACCCCTGATGGATTCATCCTTGTTGGATGGGGGTTTCCAGCTCCCTTTAAAGATGTGCTGCTGTACTCCCTCCTTAAGAAGCCATCACAGGACCCTATCATGATGGACAATTCTTGTCTAGTGGCTGAAACTACACTGGTTGCACTCATCGATGATCTCTAGTGAGAACAGGATGGAGGTGGTGCATCCATCCTTGCTTTTTGTGACCTCTCAGCACCTTCCAATACCATCAACCATGGCATGCTATTGGGCCAACTTAGGGAGCTAAGGATGGGCAGCAGAGGTTTTTGTGCTGATTCATCTCCTTCCTCCAATGTTGGTTCCCATCAGTATTAATAGGGAGCGAGAGATTATGGTTCCTCCTTTGTGGGTTGCTTCAGGGCTTGGTGCCCTCTCTGTTCCATTTTAATATGTCCATGTAACTGCTAGGTAAGGAAGGGGAAGAAAGCCCCCAGTCCTTTGGCCTTCCACAAAGGGGGTCAAAACCTGGCTATTCCACCTTGCGTGGAAGACAGAGGCCCACTCAAGTGTGGAGTTGGCTGGCCGCATGAGAATCCTTCCCACCTCCATCAACAACTGCTAACCCTCATCTTGAAATTTTTCACCTTCTGAAATTTTATAGTATTTGCATAAGTTTAACCATTTATTTTAAATTCTGACTTTTAACGTCGATTTTATTGATTATATCATATGCAGCCCACAGCATATCTCTGGGAAATGGATGGTTAAGGATAGGAAAAACCTTCAACTAAACTGGCTGAACAAGAGAAAAAAATTCCCCAGGAAGGGGAATTCTCAGTGTTTGCAAAGATACATAGTTTGGACTACATATCCAAACCAGGCACAAATCTGAGATTATAAATGACTATGCACGCCACTGTGTCCCAACAGCAGTTTTCAGAGGAAGATAAGCTGGTTGAGAGCAACTTGCCCTTTCCCCTTTCCACATTGCTCAGGAACACGAAAAATAAATTAACCCAAATAGGAAAGAAAATGAAAGTAGAGAGCAGTTTTTCTGAAAGAAAGGGAAAATACAAATCTAATAAATTAATGTCTGCCACTTGATTTGAAGGTTCAATTACTCTTTCAGCTCCACCATGAAGTTCTGTCAGTGATACAGAAGCATAAAACACATAACAAACTAAGAGGAGGTATTGTAAAAAGAGAAAACATGGAGAAGATGACATAGTTGGGCTTTCTCTGGGGAATGGGATGACTTTTGATTACCTCCCGTGTCCTGACTTGGATCTTCTTGAGAGAACCTTTCCAGAGGGGGATGTGTTGGATTCTTCCTTTCCTCAGGATCCCTGATCTCCACAAAGAAGGGCTTGAAATACAGGCAGAAGGAGGGAAGCCATAATTAATGGACATCACACATCAACTAGATTCTTGTTCTCTGAAAACAATTTCCTAGCCCACAAAATCCATCGGTGACACTGAGTAAAGAAAGGAAAGGTTGTCTCAAATCTACAATGAATAACGGTACAATGTCTACAAGAATTCATCGTCACATAATATGAATGACAGAGAAATCAGGAAGAGAGGAATAAAAATTCAAAGACATTCTTTATTCCTTTTAAACAATTTCTGAGCTCCCTAGATGAAGGCTTCACACCTGCAACTCGACCTGCTCCTTCTGCTCCTCCGCCTGGCTCAGGAGGAAGCCTTCAGCCAGGGCTACCACCTGGGAGCTGGTCTCTGCTCCACATGCCCTCACCCAGCTTTCCATCTCCGGTGGCAAAAGAGCCAGGAGCTGCTCCAGAACCACCAGATCCAGCATCTGGGCTTTGGAGTGCTTATCTGGTCTCAGACATCACCTACAAAAGTTGTGGAACCAGCTGCAAAGTCCTTGGGGACCTTCAGCCTCCTGGTATTGGAGGCTCCTGAAGTTGCAGGGCTGAACTTGTGAACAGATGATGGCTTCGTCCTCCAGGATCTTCTGCCCAGTTCTTACCCCGATGTCCCCACAGCTTCCATCCTGAACAGCAGAAGGGCCTTTTTCAGTTGTCTCACTTGCTAAAAGCTGTGTCTCCATCCTGTCTCTGCCTCTAGAGTAATCCCAAGGAATGTTTTAGATCTCGAAATGCCTTTTCATTCAGAGGATGGTTTCTGTTACTCAGGAGTGACTTCAGCGGGCCATTCAGTCCAGTTTAGCTGAGATACTTTGGCTATATGTGAAGACATACAAATGGCTTCCACTTTGTATATCTGAGATGGAAAATAAATTTCAAGAATTAGAAAATATGGATTTAACCACTGAACCACACTCATCCCATGGAAGGAAGTATTTTTCAGACCTGGTATAGGGGTTGAAGTTGCTTTGAGATGAATTGTGTGTGTGTGTGCATGCGCGCGTGTGTTTGTGTGTGTGTGTGTTGAACTTTAGAATATTTTCTATTTTTACTTCCAAGGACAGGCTTTATTTTTAAAAACTAGATCTACAGTAGTGGCCAAAATTGTGGAAACCTTTTGAGAAAATTGCACAGTATTTTTGAGGTGTGATGGCTAATAATACCACTTTTTTGGGAGTAGTACCATAATATTATATATCAATGGAAAGTTAATTTAATCAAGAATGTAATGCAATGACTTTTATGAAGGATTTGCTATTAGAATAGCAGTTATAAAGAAGAAAAGTGAAACATGTAGAAAAAATGCTATATACAAAAATTATCACCATAGGAAAAACAAGATATCTTTAGTTAGGTAATCTTTAGCGTGAATTATGGGCTTACATCATCTTCCCAAGGAATGAACCAAGTGTTTTAATTCTGCAACTGTTATAATATGAAACCATGATTGAATGATTGCTTCTATTAACTGGGTTTTATTGCTGTCTATATTTGGCTATAATTTTGCATAGAATACAGATAATTAAACAAATTTTGTTGATTACATTCTTGATTAAATTATCTTTTAATTGATATATTATGGTACTACTCCAAAAAAAGCAGTGTCATTAACTATCAAACCTCAAAAATACCCTTTTCCCAAAAGGCTTCCACAATTTTGGCCACTACTGTACATTTATGTACATTTAACCTGCCAAACATCAAACAGGTGAACAAACCACGAAAGATAGGTTCACATCCAATCAAACGCCAGGAAACCACACTGGCTAAGGATGCCCCCTTTCCCTTCTTTGGAGATCTGAATTTTCCTCTGACACGCAGGCAGGTTCACACAACCTGCTTGGAGCCAACCGGGTCACCCAAGGGCAGAGTACCAGGGGCCGGGAAGAAGACAGCTAGAGAGGCCCGCGAGTTTCTCTCCCCCTCCTCCGGAGGCACGGCGGACTGCGGAGAATGGGGCCCCGTCGGTGCCTCCTCCTCGCCCGCCTTCTCTCCTCTCCTGCTGACTCTCACCCTCCGCCACTCTCCCGCAGCCTCTCCGCCTCCTGCGGAGCTCCAGGAGTTAAAGGGAGAGTGCGGCCTCCCTAGAGCAGCAAGAGTTTGTGATGCCACGCCTCCCCTGGAGAGCCAGCTATGACGTTCGCCCTACAGTCCACCAATCGGGAAGCGCCTCACGTTTACCTTTCTTTTGCAGAGAGCGCCCCCTGGAGGATTCTGCGCAATGTCACAGGGCGGGAAGGAGCGCACCTTGAGGGGAGGCTGAGAGCAGGGATGATGGGCATGAGAGTAGCAGCAAAGGGACTTCTCAATGACTGTCAGAGAGAAGCAGTGGCACCTCCGTGAGGGAGGGAAATTTTTCCTGTCAGGAAAATGGCGATTTCTATAGTTTTTTAGTTCTCTAGTTCAATATACACAGCTGCTCTTTTCCAATTCTCACCTCTGGGGGCCCAAGAATAACTGAAAAGACCAGATGGCAGTTTCTGACAAAGGAAATAATGATGAAGAAAAAGAAATATCGAAGGAAAACTAGTTCCAAATTAAAGAAAAGACTCAAAACTAGCTATTGTTTTTTTACCTCACAACTTTTTTTTACCCCACGAGGGGAAAATAACCTCCTCTGTGACATGAGAAAAAGTGGAATTGCAAACTGAAGTCAAATAGTAACAAATGAATATAAATATCAAGTCTGTGAGGGGAAAAATGAACAAAAATCTATTTAAGAGCTGAGCGGGAGATTTACCTCATAGGGAAACTAATAGAAAACTAAAGGCCTCTGTAAAATTTAAGGCAAGCAGAAGCATCTGATATTCCCTTGGCCAAGAGTGCCCCCTGGTGGTTGCTGTGTGCCACGCAGTTGCCAATGCAAGATCTCACAAATTATGGACGGAGATTTACAACACTGTATAGATGCAGTAATTAAAAACATCCCAAAGAAAAAGAAATAAAAGTAGTAGCTGTCTGATGAAGTTTTACAAATAGTTGAGGAAAGGAAAGCAAAATGCAAAAGGGAGAGTTACATCAACTGAATGCAGGTTTTCAGAAAATAGCAAGGAGAGATAAGGCCTTAAGTGTTCAATGCAAAGAAATAAGAGGAAAAGGGTAAAATGAGAAATACTAGTGATTTCAAGGAGATATCAAAGGAGTGTTTTGTGCAAAGATGGGCACAATAAAGGATAAAAATGATAGATAACTAACAGGAGAATAAATTAAGAAGAAGTGGCAAGAATACACAGAATAACTATACAAGAAAGATCTTAATGCCTCTGAAAACTACTATGTTATGATCACTGACCTTGAGCTAGACATCTTGGACATAGTAAAAGCAGAAACATCACTTTGCTGACAAAAGTGTGTATAGTCAAAGCTATGGTTTTCCCAGTAGTAATATGTACATAAGGCTGTGAGAATTAGACCATAAGGAAGGCTGAGCACTGAAGTACACAATTGAGCACACGATTGATGCTTTCTAATTGTGTTGGAGAAGATTCTTGAGAAAACCTTGGACCGCAAGGAGATCAAATCAGTCAATCTTAAAGAATATCAACCCTGTCTGCTCTTTGGAAGGATAGGTACTGAAGCTGAAGCTCAGATAGTTTGGTCACCAAATGAAAGAGGGCCCAGGAGAAAGGTCCTGATGTTGAGAAAGATTGAAGACAAAAGAGGAAGGGGATGGCGGAGGATGACATGGTTAGATAATGTCATCAATGCAATAGGCATGAGTTTGAATGGACTCCAGAAGACAGTAGAGGATGGGGGATCATCACATGCTGTGGTCCATGGGGTTGTGGGGGCAGACACAAGTTATTGACAAACAACAAACAAAGAGAGAACATGGAAGAATACTCTACACCAGTGTTACTCCCTAAAGAAAAAGGAGAATACAAATCTAATAAATTAATCCCCCTCCCACTTAGTTGATCTGGAGATTCAACCACTGTTTCAGTTCCACCATAAAGACCAGGAAGCTTCATTTTATGTTCTCCTGTGAGGAGACAGAATTTTAAAATATATAATTAACAAATAAGAAGATATTTTACAGAAGGCACAGGGAAGGGAAAGCAGCTGGGGAATGAGAGGACCTTCGATTAGCTCCTGAGATGATCTGGTTGGGATATTCCTGAGAGAGACTCCTGAAAAATATTTGAGGGGAATTTGATGGATTCCTCCTTCTGTCAGTCTCTGCGATGTCTGCCACAAAGGACTTGAAACAGGAAGGAGAAAAGAAGCACAATTAACAGATATCACAAAACCTGGATTCTTGTTCTCCAAACGTAACTTCATAACCCCCAATGTCCATCAGTGACGCTGAGTAAGAAAGGAATGGTTGCCACAAATCTACAATGAATAATGGGACGACAATTGGTGGGACATCTCCACATATTATGAACATTAGAGAAATCTGGAAAGGATGGATGAAGAATTCAAACACATTATTCCTTTCAAATTCCTTCTGGACTCCACAAACCAAATTCGCTCATGTCCAACTCGACCTGTTCCTTCTGCTCCTCGCCTGGCTCAGGGGGAAGCCTTCGGCCAGGGTCACCGCCTGGGAGCTGGTCGCTGCTCCACATTCCCGCACCCAGCTCTCCAGAACCACCAGGTCCAGCATCTGGGCTTTGGTGTGCTTTTCTGGTATCAGCCATCGCCTACAAAAGTTGTGGAGCTTGCTGCAAAGTCCTTGGGGACCTTCAGCCTCCTGATATTGGAGGCTCCTGAAGTTGCAGGGCTGAACTTGGGGACAGATGATGGTTTCCTCCTCCAGGCTCTTCTGCCCAGCTCTGCCCACAACTCTGGAGCTTCGCTTCCCCCCTGCATGGAAAGGGCAGCTGCATAGGATCCGGTGCTAAAACCGGAGGAATGCTAGCCACGGTTCTCTCCTTCCTCTGCCTCTCTTTGCAAATGAAGCGCTGCAAAACTTTCTGCCAGCCTCTTACCCTTTTCTGCGGAGTTCCAAGATTTAAGGCGAGCGAGTGCGGCGCGCTAGAGAGTCAAAATTCAGTGATGTCATCTCCATCGCAGCTTCCTCTGGAAAGGCAGGCGTGACTTTTGCCCTCCAGTGGACCATTGGGGAAGCGCCCAGTTGTTCCCTTTTCTTGACAGAGGGTGTCCCCTGGTGGATTCTGCGCAAAATGCCAGGAGACCTGCAAGAGCGGGAAAGAGGAGCATGTCTTGGGGATGGGAAACAGAATAATATTTAAAATATTTAGAATGACAGAGTTGGAAGGGACCTTGGAGGTCTTCTAATTCAACCCATTGCTTAGGCAGGAAATCTTCTATACCATTTAGAAGAGCCGGGATGACGCAGTGGTTAGGGTGCAGTACTGCAGGCCACTTCAGCTGACTGTTATCTGCAGTTCAGCGGTTCTAATCTCACCGGCTCAAGGTTGACTCANTTGGTGGATGTAGTTGTGATGTGCATTTATTGTAAGGGTGCCTTCCCCAATTTGATGGTCTGCAGATATATTGGATTCCAGCTCCCATAATCCCAGCTAACAGTGAGCATGCTAGCTATGTACTGAAGGCACACTAAAGCTTAGTAAAGGCTGTTTTGGAAAATGGCATATTACTTTAGCTGGTTTCATTATACTACAGCAATTTTTAAAAATATAAAGTTAGCAAAGCTTGGGTCCATACTAGCAGTCTGCCTTCCTCAGCTCTGCTTGTGCTTTTGCAAAACAGGCTGTGTGCTATTTCTTCTATTTAAGGCCAAAAGAATTGTTATCTGCATTTGCTCAGCCTTTATCTATACAAACTTCCACATCTCTGATAGCAAATATCAGTGGTTACTCTGCTCCAAGGTCACTTGAACTTTTTTTTCAAAGGTCAATATCTTTTCCCTATAGTTGCATAGCCAACTTTGGCTATGAATAAGACAGATTTAAGGAAGTCATTCTCTCTCCAGTAAAGCTGAAATGCTGTCTTGGATTCACTTATGCCTTGATCTGTTACTCTCGGTTATACCTAATAGAAAATAATCCCCGTGAAACAATACGCTGTAAAAATAACAGAGTCCCTGCCCTGAAAATACAGATTAGTCATGTTTTAATCTTTATTTTCTATCTCGTTTTATAGTGTGGAGTCCACATTATTATGTACAGATTGGTTGAAGTAAGTCTGCGTACTATCTTGAATTGTCAGTGACTTCTAATTAAGATTTTATCTTTTCTTAATGCCTGGCCCCATTCCTAGCCACTTCTATGAGATAACAGGTTGATAGGTATATCAGCAAAGCTATTTCCTAGCTTCCCCTCCTGATATGTTTCTAGTGGGTGATAGTTAAATAATATGCCATGCCCCTATTTATGGGCTTAGTCTACTTTTGGTGAAAAATAATAGGGTCAAAGCAAGCTGGAAGTGGTTGAAGGCAGATTTTTTTTTTTCCTAATGACCATGGCAAGGTTTTAAGCCAAGTATGAGCCAAATGCCATTTCAAGATATGTGAAACTGGATAACCCAATTTCTCGGCTTTCTAACTCCGTTGGCTGAAATTTGGTTCAGAAGAAATGTTGCATTGGGAGAAACACCCCCGCCCTATCCTAACTCCAAATATATTTATTCCTAGAATTTAGAAGACTTTTCCCCCCAGATAACGTAATGATTAAACACGGGGATGCAGAGGGCTGGAACATCTTCATGTCAGACTTTATACATACATACATACATACATACATACATACATACATACATA